ATAATAACAATCGTCATCATAGTGATGATAATAAACAATAACAATGACAAATTACTAATACTGATGATAATGATGACATCAACAATTATAATAACGATAACAATAATAATAACAACAGTAATATTGATTGCAATATAGGAAAATTAAAATGATATAATAATAATAATAATAATAATAATAACTGATGATGATGATGATGATGATGATGATGATGATGACATGATGAATAATAATAATAATAATGATGATAATGATAATATAATAATAATAATAATAATAATAAAAAATTAATTTTAATCATGATAATAATGACAAGAATAATAATTATTACTAATGATAACAACTATAACAATGATGGATTATGAAAATGACAGTAGTAATTATAATCATAAATCATCTCAGGGATGATAATAATAAATATAAATATTAAATATGTAAAGTTGTTATTGAATAAGTAAAAATGTCACCATAACATTTGTCTTTATAAACAATAAGATACAAGTGACTTACACTATTTTTTTGTATTATATTTTGGTGAATATCTCTAGATTATAATTACCTCTTTGATTAGAACAAAAACATAAATTTGCTTTTAATTTATTTTATTATTTTTTATAGATTTTTTTCTTTTTCTATTTTCATGATTTTTGCATTAGCTGTATTGGTGTAAAAGCTTCGTTACGAGTAGATAATAACAACGTAGATAATAATATAGTAGATAATAATATCGAATAGATAACGAATAGAAAATATAAATATAATTTACCAACATAATTTACCTGCAAAGTATTAAAGTGAAAGGAGGAATGTCTATAAGTGAACTAAAGACGCACTTAACTTCGATCAGCCCAGAAAGTTATCTTAACACTTAAAAAAAAGTGGGGAGCTCTTACTACTTAAACAAAGTGAAAAAAAGAAAAAAATACTCTTTCCAATGAAACAAGATAAACGAAAGAGCTCATCATCCACTTTAAACAAGATTAAGAAAAGATTCAAAGACAACGAAAAAAAAGAAAAAAAAATGACTTACCGTTTAGACGAGCGGGAGAAAATAACTCCCAACTCTCCAACAAAACAAAGGATACTAACTCGGCTTCGAAATTCGGGCCCACTTACCACATAGGCAGGATAAGGCGAGACCTGTAGGAGGCCGGTAGGAAGAAATCCTTCATCTTGGGAGCTACGAAGTCAAACATATCGAAGACAGGGAGGATTTAAGCCGCTGGAGACACTTGGCAACTTCACTGATGACGTCAGCTTGTCTCTAGGTCTCTCACAAATTTTCCCTTTTTTTATAATTCTCTTTGTAAACACTGACGTGGGGAATTAGAGCAAAATGACAATGGCGATGAAGACAAAGGTAATGATAGTCAAGTGTAAACAACTTTTCATACTAGAGAGAATCCATGCGATATTATAATGCAAGCTTAATCTTCTTTCCCGCGTTAAAAGTTGTCGTTGTTTATAAACTGTAGTTATTCTCGAGGCAATATCAATTGTTTTTCTTTTTTTTCTTTTTTTTAGATTTTAACCTGTTCGATCGCTTTTCCAACCCTCCTCCATTTATAATTACTGATCTTTGTATTCTTCACTGCGTTTTATAAGAGAGTCAGAACTTTTTGATATTTTGCTAGAAGAGGCAGATACAATTACAAAATTTCCCTTTATTAAACGGCTTCGAGGAACGCACAAAGGTCAAGGTTCTGAGCAAAACTTTTTTTTCTGTTTCGTTTTTTCCCTTTTGCTTTTCCTTCGTGGATTATGGTATGTGATAAATACTTTTTTTTATAGAGGCACTGGCAGACACACACACACACACACACACACACACACACACACACACACACACACACACACACACACACACACACACACACACTTACGCACGCGCGCGCACACACTTATATACAGAGAAAAACATATACATTTTTTTTTTATCACCCGCTGTTTTTCCCCCTTTATATTCTATTTCTATATCCCTCTTTTATCATAATTTTCTTTTTGTTTCTTGTTTTTTATTTTATTTTTTTGATGACCTACTTTCCCTTACATTTTCACTGTATTCCTATTCCTTCCCCTCTTCCTTCTTTCGCCTTTATTTCCCACATCCTTCCAGTCTCTCTCTCTCTCCCTTCCTTCCGTCTCCCATTTCTCCTTTCTTCTGACCTCTCTTCCTCCTTCCTTCCATCTTTCGTCCTCTCCCTTTCTCTCTCCTCTCCTCATCCATATTCCCTTTCCTTCAGCCTTGCCCTTTGCCCCTTCTTCCCTCTACCTGCTTTCCCACTCTCTTTCTCTTTCTCTTCCTCTCTCCCCCTTTCTCCCTTCCCTCCCTCCATCCCTAATCCTCCCTTTTTACACCTCCTTCTCCCTCCCTCTCCTCCTCCCCCCCCCCTTCCCCGTGATAGATAAGTGACTCACATTTTATCGTTGTAGCGTGGGAGGGGAGAGAGGGAGGGGGGAGGGGAAGGGAGAGGGGGAAGGGAGAGGGGGAAGGGAGAAG